AAGCCTCGAGCTCAAGCTTCAAAGCTGAAGTTGGACACTACCGACTGTTTCCGCAGTGCCGCTCGGCCGGGGCTGCATTCTAATCAATCTGCTGCATGCTGCGCGTCTCTGATTTCCCCTAGGCCAAAAAGTTAAATATCGTACCTAAAAACAAAGATAAGAGTAGGATCCCGGTGCCTCGGTACGCCTGTCGCAATAGCCGGCAAACAATTTATCGAGGCTCGAGCAGTCGCGCTGCCATAATTCAAACACCGCGAGCGAAAATATCTGTGTCATTGGACGCGACCGCGCGTCACGGAGAATTGGGCAGCGGAGTCCAATGACGCTAACCTACGATGGCCCGACAAATTGTGGGGTCGAACGTTGAGGGGCGGGGCGGCGGGGTGTGCGCCCCCGTCTTGTGGCGTGAGCCTTACGAACGGAGTCCGAGACGGTCGCTCACAACGCCTAGTTATTTCTATTCGTGCGTCTCCAGAAAAAGGTTGGGTGATGCGGCCGTGGAGGGGAAGATCCAGCGATGTATTATCACTTACAACGCGGATCAAAGCTCCTCGGGTGCTTACCCAGCAATTTTCCGTCGGCGGGCTACGATGGATGCAATGATAAAGCCCCTGGCGCACAGACCTGGCTAGGACCGAGAATTCCGCGAAGAGCCAGACAGCGGCGCAGTCGATAGATAGAGGCGAGGGGACCTAGTATGGGTTCGACAACACGCGGAAGCTGTACACGTAAAGCGCTCTCCACGCTCTGTCACGCAAAGCACCCGCGTCTCAGGAGGGCGTGGCGTACGAACCTTGGGACGGACGATCGAGTGGATGAGGCTCGCACGCACGCTCCGCGCTGCGGCATAATGAGTCCAAGCACGTGTGGTTCATGTACGGTCGTGAAGAGAGGAGAAATACGCAAGTGAGGCCGTTGGAAGGAGGCCTGCTGTTGCGACATGGAGGCCTGGGCAGTCTGGAGCACTCTGATCAGACACAGCCGCGTCCCACGGCGAACCATGAGTGTCGTGGGCGCGATAACAAAACACACTCGCCCATCTGGTCGGACGCTTTGGGACGATCGTCGCTTCAGGACCGGGTCCGGCACTCAGGCTGGTGCGAGCGACCGGGGAGACTGCTCTGGCCGCTGTCCGACGGGGCTGTCGTCTGTTCGATGGCAGGATGAGAAAGAAAAATTAGAGCAATGTGAAGGGCTGAGCTTGAGCCGCGACTGAGATGAGAACGACGGCGAGGTACGCAGGGGAGACAGATGGCGTGGCGAGTCAAGGCATGCCACGATCCGGGCCATGGACAAGCCTTCCCTGCGTCTGGCTACGTAAGGTTGCCCGCCGTTACCGCCCTCGCGACACCAAACTTTCGAGCCTCGCCATGGCGCTATGCATATAACACTCCGACCCACCACACACCCGCGATGCCAACCTCCCGTCCCTGACCTCCCGTCCCCCTGCATCCTGCGTGCGTCCGATCCCTGGCCTCCATCGTCCACAAGTGCGCGACAGCCCGGCGAAACGATCCCCCCGAGTGGCGATGAATCACTATTCAGCGGCAGTAGCGTACTTTGCCGCGGGCTCCAGTAGCTTCCTGGTCGGATCCTCCTCCCTCTACGATCACACCGCCTGCGGTCCGCCAGGGTCCACCACGAGCAGCCAGCCACACAGGATGAACACCGTCAGTTCAGTCAGCAGCCTCTGCTACGGCGGCGCCACCGGAACCGCCCCCGCAGGCGCGAGCACGAGCCCGCCCTCGCTCGGTAGCGCGACTTCCTCATCTGTGTGGGTACCTCCGTCGCTCTTCGCCTCCAGCCTGGCGCACGATGATGCGCCGCAATATGCGGCTCGCTATAAAACTCAGCTCAGCCAGCCACCAGTGCCAACGAACTCGATTGCCTCTGTGTCTGCCAACGCTCAGCCGAGGTACCCCCCGTACGCATTCCACCTCTACAGCGCGCACTATCCCGTGCCCTTCATGGCCATCCCATCCGCCCCACGCGTGCACTCGCAGCCAAACCCCCAGCCCTACGACCCCCATGCTGCCCCGCCGCCTCAGCAGCCCGTGCTACCAGTTCTCCCGGCGGTTCCAGCAGCCCCAGAAGAATCACATCGATCGACGAGCCCGGGTTCAAGCGAGCAAGAACAGGATGAAGTAGCAGAAGAGCAACAGCCTGCGCGGAGCTACGCGACGCCAAAACGGCACGCGTGTATCATGTGCCACAAGTCGTTTGATCGGTGGGTGCCCCACAGTCTCGCGCTTTTTGCTTTCCTCCCTCAACTAACCGCTCTGCCAGACCATGCACGCTCAGAAAGGCAAGTTCGCGTCGATCATGTTTTGCGCTGTGTGGCTGACTATTGGCTGTTGCGTTCCGTACTGCAGCACCTACTCGTACACACGGGCGAGAAACGTCAGCATCTGTTTTTTTTTACACTTGTTCCCGGAGCACGTTCTGACCCGCCCCGCCTTTCTGCGCAGCGTACCAATGCGCCGGCTGCCAGCGCCGCTTCAGCGTCGCGTCCAACCTGCGGCGGCACTCCCGCCGGTGCGTCCAACCAGAACAGGCACCCTCGGCTCCGTCGGGCACCCCGGAGGGAAGCGACGCGTCCGGCGGGACCGCACCCGAACAGGCCCCCGCCTCGGCACGCGAGCCCGCGACCGCCGCGGCAGGGCCCTCCTCCTCCTCCTCCTCTGCCTCCACTTCTTCTCCCGCAGATGCCGCACCGCGGAGCCGCAAGCGGCGGGCCTCGAGTCCCCCAAGCGACGCCGCATCCGGCAGCAATAGCAGCGGTAGCAGCACGCCTGCACCAGCCGCCGTCGCGGCGCCCCGCCCGAAACGGCGGCGGCGCGCGCCATCGCCGACGCTGTGGGTGCCGGAGAGTCTGCGCGCGTTCAACCTGACGCCGTACGCGAAGGCGACGCCGGTGCCGCTGCCGCCCGTCGCGCCGCACAGCGCGGCCGGGGAGGAGCGCAACAGCTTCGTGCGCTACTCGGCGAGCGAGGGCCGCCGGCTGTACCACCCAAGTGGCTGGAAGGGGCGCCTCCCTGGGCCTGCACTCCTCGAGCCCGAGAGCCTCGGCGCGATGGGCGTACGCATGCTCGTGATCTGAGGCGCAGGGTTCCTGTTTGGTTGTTTTTTGCTACCTGTGAGTGCGGATGGCTGTGTGGTTGAGGTCTGCGTGTGCTCACCCAAGGCGCGCGCAGATACCCACGAACCGACTCGACTTAGAGATGTCCCGCTTTCATGACTCGGTATTTACGCTCTGCGCAATGCACATATTGCTTCGTTCTTCCATCCTACAATATTCTTGGTGCCCTTTATTGTTGCTTGTAACGTATATTACTATTGTATTTGCTCGTAACGACGCAGTACTTGCTTTTCTATGTGTCAATTATTTCTATCCCCTGCCGGTACTTACACCTGTTTTGTCTTGGTATCCAGAGGTCTTTGGAGCTGGACGGACGCATTCCGTGGATGGTAGGAAGCGCAATATTGTGGACAAACAGTTCCAAGCTACATGATACACATTTGTGAGAGCAAGAATTCGCATCTAGAGGTAAAACTGAATCTAGTCCGTAGCGCGCGACAGCATACTAGTCAAAGAAAGACAGACCCTCTCTACTCAAACAATGTCGCCCCTACCGCTTCGTGAACTTACTGAGCAGCTTCTCGCCCGTCGAAAGTCCGCCTACCACGCCATCGACAAAAGTCACGTTAACGCCAGTCCCCATTTACACGACGCGGCAGCACTCACTCTGCTTGAGGCTACTAATACGTCCGAGTCCGCTTGATCCGCCGCCGCTGTTCCCGCTGTTTCCCGGCGGACGCCCCTGCTGCGGCTGTTGCTGTTGCCCAGGGTAGCTCGACCATCCCGTCGGCGGGTGCGTAGGCGGCGGCGGAAAGCTTGGTGCGCCTCCAGCCGGACTTGTCGGAGGTGGGCCATACGAGCTCGCGGGGTATCCTCCTGCGCGTTCTCGTCAGTCCTGCACACTTAACGTCTGAAAACGAACGAAAGACGCACCATAGCCTTGTTGCCCATACGGCGGATACGGATACTGCTGCTGTCCTCCATAGGGCGCATACGGCTGCGGCTGCGGCGGGCCATACCCTCCGCCGCCGCCGCCGCCGTACGGCTCCGCTGGAGGGTACGATGTCTGTGCCTGCGGGAACGCGAAACCGGGCTCCGCGGGCGTTGGGCCGTACCCGTACCCCGAGGACGGGCGCGGAGGCGGCGGCGGCGAGGTCGACGCGGCGGGGTACGCCGGGCCATAACTTGACTGGTGCTGGTGGTGCTGCCCATGCGCATGAGGAGACTGTGGGCTGTGCGACCGATGCTGATGTGGTTGATAGGGCGTATACGGCACGTTGAGCGTCGGCGACGCGGGCGCAGGTGCTTGTGCGGGTGCATCCCACTCGGGTGGGGGCCACGCGGCCTGGGACCAAGGTCCCGGAGAAGACGCGGCCGGCTCGGGGAAGGTCGTCGAAGATGAGGAGTCTTGGCGCTGTGGTTCGGCAGGCGGAGTGTGCGAAGTCGGGGCATAGTCTGGGAAGGGTGGGTTTGAGCAGGTCGACGCCGGGCGAGGCGGAGACGTCGGGCGCGAGGACGGACGCGCAGGATGCTGAGGTGGCCGGTCCCTGTGCGGAGATGCGGGGAGAGAGATGTGTGTCCGGTTGAAATCATCTGCGAGCCCTGAGACGTCGGAAGACGGACGAGGAGCGGCGGGAGGCGGCTGAGGACGCGAGCCGGCTGGAATAGGCGGTGGTGCGCTGCCTAATGGTTTCGAGGCGTGTGGATGCGATATCGATGGGCGTGAGGTGAGAGGCACAGGTGGCCGTTCTGGTGAGCGACTAGGCGATGCGTTCAGTGCACCGATAACGCCTACGGCTGCTGCTGCTGCTGCTGCAGGTCGAGGACCTATTGGCGGGGGAGACGTATATTGTGTAGGGTCAGCTGGTCGAGGAGCGATCGGAGGAGGGCCAGAAGTTGAGGGGCCCGCTTCAGCCGGCCTAGGAGGAACCGCCGGTTCTTCCACTTCCAGCGTATATGGTGGAGGTGGCGGTTCGTTTGCGCCACTTCCCGCGCCTTTGACTTTCTGCCACTCTTCCCAAGATTGATTCTTCTCTCCAGATCCAGACGCATATGTATCCGTCTTCTCCTCGTAGCGGGGACGTGTTGACCAGTAGTCATCAAGCTCCTTCGATGGAAAGGTCTCGTGCACGAGCCGTTCGCCACGCAAGCTCTCAGCGATGAATCCTGCGATGCGCATGTACCAGTCTGAAGGGAGGTCGTAGCCATCTTCATCAAGAGCCATGAAGTTATACTTGTTATGTACTGGCACTTGTCGCTTCTTAGAGACTACAGGCATAAAAGCAGTGCCTTCGTCGTACCTTGTCGTTTGGTGAGCACGACGACTGGTGAGATAGATTGACCAAAAGACGTACTCGTCCCACATCGCGCCATATATTGTGCGCACGCCCTGCCGCTTTAAGTTCCATAGCTGTCTCCAGAGGAAGCGACCTCCGAGTCGCTTGATCCCATTCCAGCTCCAATGTCCCTCAGACAGGTTGAAGCCCTAAGCGGAGCATTCACTATGTGCTCCATCAAGTAATACGAGACGGACTTACCGAACCTCCTGGCAATATTACCGGGACATAATCGATGTGTCTTCGATTCGGAACGCCTTGTTCGAATTCCTCGTTTCTCTTCTTGATCAACTCGACATCGCCTTTGACATTGTGCTCAGCAAACCAATCTGTGCCATCTGGATCTCCATATCTCCCAACAGTCCATGGGGATATCGCATCGAAGCACTCGAGCCAAACATTGACGAATTCGGGGTTACGATCCGCGTCGCTGGTGGAGGTGCGCCAGTGGGCAGGACTACCACCCATGATGTATGCGCCGCCAGGCGTGTTATTTCGGATGAAGTCTGTTACAGCCCGCACAGTCGCAGGGTCGTGGTTCTGGTCGTTCATGCCAAATCCCCATAGGGTCACGACCGGCTTACCCCTCTCCTTGAGGTAGCTCGGGCTATCGAGCACCCGCTGTTCCCGAACGAGGTGTATCCAGTCCTTTTCGATGATGCGTTGTATGCGGTCAGGAGAAACGCCCGCCATGTCGTACCTGCATTTATGCGTCTATTTCCACACCAGAAGCGCAGGAAGCGGACGTACATTATAGCAAACACCCTGTCCTCTTTCTCTGCAGCCTGTCTAACGAGGTCACCTACTTCGTCCCGCTGGTCTCGGATCGCCTGGTTTCCCTGCTCGAGGTCGCACTGGCCGAGGAAACGTTGTAGGAATGCCCCGTCCACGCCGTGGAGAGCCATCCAGTGAAAGTGGCGTTCGACGGTACGCGCGTTTCGTGATGAGAAGAGGAAAGCTTGCTCCCCATTTGGGTACTTCAGGCCTGGGGCAGGGAACAGCTCGGACGGGGAGTACTCTGAGACGTCCGGCCAGAGATCGGTGTTGGGCCGTCCGCCGTCAGGGATTGGGTAGGTGAACCAGTGCAGCCAGCCATGATGGTGCGGATCGAGAGGTTTTCCGTCGCCTGGACAGGTAAACCAGCCTTGATAGCCTACAAGAAATTTGTCCTGAATGGTCGATGGGTTGGCTCGCTTTAGGGTCTTTCCAGTATGATGGCTAGAAGAAGCCATTGTTATTAAAAAGAACGGAGCACAGGCGAGGATCGATTTGAGGATATGTTTCGACAGGTCAGGCAAGTCGTCACACGGGGCCGAAATGGGGACAGAATGGAGGTAAGAGGCAAGAGGCACGAATGCGTATGGGATTGACTGCTCAGACGACCCGAAACGCGCGCGTCATACAGTAAGCTTTAGCGCCCATATAACACAATCATGTGATCTGACGTAGCGGACCGGGCGCCGGGGAGACAGTGCCCAGGCCCCAGAAACGACTCTGGACCCCAAACTTACCATCCTCGACCTCAGAGAATCACTGTCATGGACCAGGTTGCCTCGGAACTTGCCCAGTTCCTGCTGGCGCAACTCGCGACGTTCGTGAACCTCTGCCTGCATCGGCACGCCCCACGCTGACTCAAGAGCTACGTCGGCCTCATACGATGTTCAGGATGTCAGCTACCAGCCGACTGATCGTCGGAATCGCTGGAGTTCCAGCATCTGGAAAGTCCACCTTGTCGCAGATGCTCGCCGACCGCGCAAACGCTTTGCTATGCGGGACCCCAGACCAGGATGCTGTGGTCCTCATTGGCCTAGACGGCTGGCACCTAACACGCGCACAGCTCGACCAGTTCCCAGACGCGAAACTAGCTCATGATAGGCGCGGTGCTCACTGGACTTTCGATGGCCAGTCTTATGTCGAGTTCGTGCGAGAGCTGCGAGTGCCGCTGAATATCTTGACTTCGGCTGCCGGGGGACGAGAAGCAGTTATCTATGCACCCTCATTCTCCCACGAGCTCAAGGACCCAACACCCGGCGCGGTCAGCATCCAGCCCAAACATAGGATCGTTATCATTGAGGGATTGTACACGTTCCTTGACATCGAGCCATGGGCCGAGGCAGCCCAATCGTTAGATGAGAGGTGGTGGGTGGAGATTGGTGAGAATGAAGCCAAGGCGCGGCTAGTAAAACGGCATGTCATCAGTGGTGTCGCGAAGGATTTGCAGGAAGCGGAGTGGAGGGCAACAGAGAACGATGCACCAAGTACGTCATCATCTCTATTCTCTGAGAGTTCTTCAACAGCCCTGTTCGCCGCAGACGGTCGCTTCATCAAAGAGAACATGTTACAACCAACCAGGATTATATACAGTGTAAACGATCCAGTGCTAAAATCACCAAACCTGTCATAGCTTGCGAAGCCGTACAGTGTACAAATCCTGGTTCTATGTCATTTACTGAAGCAGACTATGGAAACTTGCATACTGATCGGGGTCCCTGGAAATATATTGACACATCCATCTTCACTGTTGCATTACAAATCCATGCTATTGATACACGGGGAGGGCGAGGGGTGTACGAGAAGGCGTCCGTCATTGTGCGATCGAAGCAGCCTGATTTGCGTCAATTTTTCGCTCGGCGGTCACTAGACAGGGGTACGGTTTAGCATAGGGAAGCTATGATGATACTATACTCTCACCCCAGGGTCTACGATCCATGGGACACTGTTGTTTTGAAGCGGCTGTCCCGAGCCACTTCAACAGGCAATGCATGTGGAAGACATGGCTGCATTCGCCCCAAACTATCTCAATACATGAGAAAAAATCTGGCAGGGAGCGATATGCTCACTTAGAGGACAGTCATCTCCAGGCATCTTGCACGAAGGACAGCACCCTTCATAAGGCACACGGCAAATACCACAGACGTCGCCCTCGTCGTCCACCTCATTTGAGCCAATATCCCACCGCCATTGGGCGATTGCGTGCCAGTTTTTTATCGTAACTTTCATCCCTGGAGGCTGGATCTAAGTGTTGATGGAAGAAGACGCGTATGAAAGTCGAGGGGGAAACTTGAAAGTCAACCGCGTCCAGGACGCGCTTGGGAATCCGGACCCCGAACGCTTCACGTGAGCACCGTTTCGGGGTCACTAACGCCACGAAGCCTTTGTACAAGCGCCCGCCGGCGCTGTCCTGCTGCGACCTGCCATCCTCGTGTCCTGGTCTCATCTGAAACCTGGAATCAATACGGATTTTTTCCCTGACTTTATGAAGCGCATAGCGAAGTTACCCCGGGCTGAAAGGAAGCCTCGCAATGAGCGATGATCCCACTGGTCGGTCAAAGCGAGACTTCTCCCTTATCTCCATAGTATCTGATAAGTTCCCGCCTTTGCGACCCTTTTCCCTACTTTGTTTTTGATTATAACATATATGACCGGCACAGATTCTAATTGAGTGGTAATCCCTGTGGTCGACAAGCGACTGCGTTGCAGTTCGCACTGTTCGCTGTCGGACATACTTGCGTACAATGCTTATACAAAACACAAAACACGTCGTTGTCGGAGAACGTCGGAGATTTTTTATATCCGGTCCGTGTTTACATGTCCGCGAATCAATGGCATCAACGGTACAGCTCTGATCTATTCCAGTGTCCGCGGTCTAATCCAACCTATTATCACCCCGGATACATGACGAGTAAGCAAAATAATGTCCAAGGAACATATGGGCCGCTGCATGTCCGATAGTGCCCCGCTTTATACAGGTTCCATACGCGCACTCTACTCCCACAGTAACGTTCATGTTTACTGCATGCTCACGAGGACAGAGGCAATTCCGATCTCCTGAGTGACGTCTCCCTATCCCCCTGTTAGTTGGTTCTACAGCTCAAGTTTTAGCTTGCTCGACTCACAGGACAGCTGGTGAAGATCTGAACGACGGCCAGGAAGCCCGGGCCCTCAGCTCCAATATCAGGCACCACGAGCGAACTCGGGGGCGGCGTGCCGGATGGTGGCAGGCCTGCGTTATAAAGTAGGTTAATGGCCGAAATTATCTTGTTGAGACTGCGCTCACCAAAGTTGGCAACAGTGAACTGGCCGAATGAATAGAGCGCATTCTGGATGTCACCTGTGCTGTCGACGTCGTCGATGGTAGGTGCGGTTTCCGTGAGGAAGACCTTGAAGTTGTTGTAGCCCTCCTCGCACCAGTTGTCGACATTGTAGCCGAAGGGGAAAGCGGTGTTGGCAGAAAGAGGGGTATTCGAAGCAGGTGTCGCAATGGTGCCCATGAAGGGACTCTCTGTCAACGGTGCGCTGAATACGGGGGCCAAAGCGGCGAAGAGAGGGAGGACAGCGGTGAGGAAGTACATCTTCGATGGGGCTCTAGGTGAGTGGAGGCCGGAGAGTGTGTCGAGTGGAGGCTGAGCAGTTTGCTGTAGAAGACCGTGGCTCGCGGCTCTACCTTATATATGCCTGGCGCAAAAGGTATATATCGTGGCATTACCATGTTGCCCTATGCAGCTACTGAATTAAGCAGACATGCACTTCTCTCCAGTCCCTGTCGTTCGTCCGCCTCCGACACTTCCAGGCATGCATGAACGCAATACCTGCACGGCATTGGTGACGGCGCTCGGCTGGATGTCCTTTCTGACGCGACTTGCAATGAATACAGGATTGTACCATGTGCACGGCAAGATGTGTAAGATGGCAGCCGAGAGTGCAAGACAGGGTCGAGTCCTTTACTGGGTAACACTCGTCTCTCCTCGCGTTCCAGACTGGAACGTTGGTTTTGGCCGCCTGGGAGCCCGTTCAATCGTCGCCCTGCCTCTTCCATGTCATACACAGGGACGAAGGATCGATGATTAGTCCGACACCGGCGGAGTGACAGCGAAGTCTATCGCAGCGTGCTCCTGTCTAATGCCAAGGTTTGCCCTGGGAGCACAGATTGGTTCTCTCGGTTCCGCTTCGTATTGGGCTCCACTGACCGCGCATCCAGTGCGCGACAAGCCGCTCTAGGACGTTCGGTGGAGGTGTGCTCTAGACTCTGGCACAAGGAGAAAGGCCGGCGGATTATGCCGGGGGCACTACGCGGCTTCTTTTTTGATCTCCGCCTCCAGAGAGCTTGGACGCCATTGGTGCGTCTCTTCACTCTCGAATTTAGTCTCTAAATCTTATTGAGGTTGACAGTGGGCCATGACGCTCCCACGCACGCTCGTCACCATCTGCCGCAACTTCGATGTACCCCTTAACTGCCGTAACCTGTCTCACTGGGCTGTCGAATATCAATAGGCTGTGGCATCGGTAGAATGCTCGATACGTGTGCTGCACTGTCGAGCTGTCAACAACGCACGATCTTCCCATAAAACCAGCATAACTGCCTCTGGTCAGCCAATGCGATTGCCCGCATCTCCGAGAATGGCCGGCATGTCGCGCATTACAGTGCATCGCGAGGCTGAAACCTTTATCGACAGAGCCGGATCGGCTAGATTTATCCGAACGGGCAGTTATCACCGATTTCTGCACCCAGAAGCAAAGCCTATCGAGGCGCCGGGACCCTCGCCAGCAGTGGTATGTGCGAAGCTTTCCAATATACTGCTTCTGCTTGCTTTGTGTAGCTGCAAATCTTCATTCCTAGGTCTAGCCAACAAGCCCTCACGTAAAGGTACCGTGTCCGCCACTGCTCGACGATCGGCGCTGTTGCAATTGTATATCGCGATATCACTAACGCGGCGTCCTCAAGCCCGCTCTTCTCAGCTCTTCTGGCACCCCCTGTCGTGGGTACAGCGCACGTTATCATGTCCGTGCATCGTGTGTACAGAGCGATGAGCGCGAAAACGTGGCCGAAGAGAAGTTTCTGACACGTCCTAGCTGACGCAGGTATCCGGGATGCTCCCTCAGCTTGTAACGGCAAGCGATAGTTCAAGGCACCCACTCCTCACATCTGCTCAGCTGCTTGGCGTCCCGTTCACCTCTGTATATTGTCGCGCATTTCCGGACGTGGCGATGCATTCATAAGCGCTGTGCACAAAAGCTAAGCATAGCTGTTGCGTCTCCCGTCTAGAGCCATGCGTGCTCGTCTTCCATGCTGGCGGAAATGAAAATTCTTCCATACCATGTTCTGCACGAAGGTGATGTCACTGATCTCTCTTAAAACGTGAGCTGGCTTCCGAATTTTGCAATGGAAGGCCGCCGCCGTGGCTGGGACCTAGGCACCGCGTCCCCCACAAACGTTGCCCGCTCCTCGCCTCTGCATTCTGATATCCCTTGAAGATTATCTCATACGTGCGAACCACTGTCTGATTGTTTATGCCTCGCTATATCGACGGCAACTGCGTGGGCGTCGTTCAGGCGCATGGCTAGTAACCAACTAACGTCCGAATCGGCAGCAGTGAGCCATTCGTGACGACCAGCGTCTCAGCGCTTGCTGTGGTGGTAATTTTGTCCCTGTAAAATAGCAGGGTCGACTGTCCATCGTACCTGATTTGCGTAATAAACGCTTGGTTCTCGGTGCCGACCCGCTGCTGCGAGGACTGGCTTGCCGCCACTCTTATCAATAAATCCTGACCAAGCACTTATCGTCAATGGACGATATACATGACAGACTGCCAGCAAAGCGGGCGCGCACAGTTCTATACGTATAAAGCAGGTGCTGCAAGTCGCAGGCTCTGCAATAAATAAACTAGAAGAGCCTCAAGTCCGCACATGTGTTCCACTGGCCTCTCGATCGCACCTGTCATGCCGCTTGCTTCCTCGTCCACGGCGTCGCTTGCCGAGAAACGTACTGCCTCCCCTGCGAGTGAGATCACAGTCAGCCTGGGCGGGTCGTATCCCTTCCAGCTTGACTTGTCAGATTGATGAGAGGTACGCTGTTCGACTCCTACATCCTTATGAGCCAGCCTACCGAAGACAGCGTGACAAAGCACTTCACCGACTGCTTGTACGACTACGGGAGGTACACTACTGACAAACTTTCCTTGCAAATGCCGTCCTCCCAGTCTAAGAGTCCAGTGCTAACTAGTGTCATGAATATTACATACTCTGGATGGTTCTCCTGGATTCCACAGTATTCCTTTACTTTCTATACGCCTCTGTATATTCGTAGTATATTCTATGTATAGAGTCTGACATGTATATAAGGAGCTTGTACTGCTCAATAACAAGCCAGACTCAAGCTGGTCTTTACTCACTCACTCTTCTCTCGTCTGTCTCCTCAGCTGTGTCGTAGCTCAGTCCAGTTGGATTGTTAGTTGCTGACATTAGCTCGAGTCTCTCCTAACTGCCCTATAACAATCCTCACCACACTCTCACACATCCATCAACCTACTCCACACGACGATCTACCTCTTTTACGCATCCGAAATCTCATCCCAATCCTAACCCTATTGACTCTACTGCATCAAGACCCCTGGAACCCTTCTCTGTGCACTTGCGCGTTTTTACCACATCATACCCCCAAAGCCACCTCTGTAATCACCAGCTCTTAGGCAGCTGAACAGAGCTCCGTCTTATTAGAATTGTACGCTGCCCTACCATAGGTGGTGTTAAACGCTTTGTGCAGTGCAAGCGGGTATTCCTGAGTACGACGTGGCAACTGGTTGCGGCCGGGCATCGGAAAAGCGATAACAGTTAGATCAACGATCCCTTTTCGGACGTCAGACCGAAGAGAAGCAATTGCTCTTTGGGCTGTTATAATATTCCTAGAACTGTATTAAGATAGCGTTTCAGTACTTTTCTACACACTTCC